TCCCGTAAGGTCCGATTCCGCATGGGAAGAATATAAGTGTGACGCCAGGTGGGAGGAAGAGTGTATTTCGCACAGAGTTTGTGTCGAAGAACTTGGAGTAAGTTGACAGCCGGACGAGAGCGCGCGTCAGCGAACGCAAGGGCAGTGTCCGAAGTATGAGAGCGTGGAAGATGTCATAGCTACTCCAGCGAGGTTTCGTGGCTGACTCAGCCTTAGAGCGATGATTGACCTGTTGTGACTAGCTTGAATCCAAATTAACTTCACTAGAATCTCACGACTGCGGTTCTTGACGCGTGGATCAGCCAATCGCAGTAGCCGCGTAGATACCTTTTGGGATGGCGACGAATAGCAAGCTTGCACGAGTTCCCGACGCAGTCTGTCCATCTGGTCAAAAACCAGACCCAGCCAATGAATGCTCTCTCTCTGTCTACTGGCCTGACTGCTGTCAAGTGGCACTTGGACCCGACCGACTCTCCTTGCCGGTCGTATGCTCTCCAAGTCAAATTTCTTTCTATCTATTCTCCGATCCTCTGTGTACACAATATACTGTCCCTACTACTCTGGCCTTTCCAAGAGTTCTTCTCTACTAAGTAACCATGGTCTGAAGATCGCAGTTGCTAGGGTTTAGGTCATTTAACCGTCTGCCATTGACCAGACGGGATTGGGGTCGGCAGACATTACTGCGCACGTGCAGGCTGTAGCAAAAAGCGAGAGGTCGAGCATTGCACTCTGAGTTTGGCCACACACGGGGTCGGGTCTCACAATCAACACTGCCGGGATGCACATGATTATCGGTCTTTCGTGAATATTGGCACTTTGCAGCAGATAAGTCACATATTGTATTTTTTTATTAGGCTGTATGTAATTTAATATAACAATAAAGTAGTCGCCGGTTATTGAGCCAACCTCGGGCCCAGTCCCAAATTGGGCTTAATAAGCAGGCTGGGCCAATTAACCGTGGGCTTAATAACCGGCGACTAATGTACTACGTACTGTCTTAAGGTTACTAAAATTCCCACTGAAAAATTCAGAAGACGAATTGGCGAACATACGTTTGTTTTCGATAATGCTTATCAGGGCCTTTACATTTATAAGGTAATTAAGTAAATAAACTGTGTTGGTTGGTAGAAAATAGAACGCTTGTCAGGGGAGTGGGAATTGGGGGGCTCGGATTCGAAATCTGATCAGTGTTAGGGGGGACTGGTGGTCCGCTGAGGTGATAAGCTGCTAACTGCTGGATTAGCGGCTTTTAGCCATGGTAAATGCGGCGCCGTGACGAAGTTCTTTTCGGCGCACAGGACCGGTCAACATAGCCTGATGGCGGCCGCTTCTGCCGTAGCCAACAGACGCTGTCCCAGATATTTTGAATAGTTTGAAGGCACTTTTTAGATCACTCGGAAGGTCTCTTTGGCATCCACGCGATGGTCTGAGTCTAGCAGTTGCGCTGGAATTGAACTTTTTATACACTTTAGTTGGCCCTTTCCTAACCATGCTTGAATGTGTTCCCGAACTCATTTGGATAGAAGCCGGCTTGTGCGCCCAATATATTCTGCCCCATAGGAGCAGGTATATAAATATGTGCACATAGAAGTAGTCTGGGCTGGCAGTTTGTCCTTGATTTCTCCGTATAGGATGGGAATGGTCGAGGACAGTACATGGGCGTTGGCTGCTGGGAAGGTGGCTGCTACAGCTTGACCTAGGCGCCGTCCTTAGTACTTCGCTTGGTCCGTCCCCTTGAAATGGGACCCTGATGAATATTCGTTTCTTCTCTGCTATTAACACTGAGGGTCTTGGTTACCTTTCAATCATGTTCTTAGCGATAAATCGACTGGGATACCCATTTTGTCGAAGCACGCCTTCAACCATCCTTGGCTCCACTTCGACGGTATCAATCGGGCAGATCCGCCAAAACCCTCAGTGTTAACAGCAGAGTAGAAACGAATATTCATCAGGGTCCCGTTTCAAGGAGGCGTTTGTG